GAGTTTTAATTTTTTGAGGCCTGGTGAGGATATTTAACATGTTACAGTCTAACTGTCGTTTTTAGAGGGACATAATCTATCCCATTACTTAAAACTCATTAATTGACATTTTATTTAAAAAATAAGGCTCTGTACGGTTAAAAATTATATCATTCTACAGCATATTCCGGGCAGGACAAGTTAAGCTGGCTCTTTACTTATTCATATTGTATATAATATATATCCTAATTTTTAATTAACAAAATAATAATTTTTTAATATTAAATTATTATACCGTTCAGCTTGATAGAGATCATAATTAATTTGAGGCATAATATAACTTGTCGAAATTGGTTACATCAAACACGAATTTATCAAATAATATGAGATAGATAAGTTAGAAACATTTACTTTTCTTAAAATAGCAATCAATTAACAATAATGATAAAAAAATTATTATTTAATTATTTATATAAATTAAATCTAAAAGATTAATAAATTATTTTAAAATAAATGTATTGGTACCCTCCAGGGTTTAGGTGTGATTGCTTTAAAAAAAAAATTTCTTATTTATTTTATTATATTTCACATATCTTACCTTCATAATCTTTTTTATGTAAAATATTATATATATTTATGCGAAATAGGTAAAAAAAATTAAAAAATAATTTAATTTTAAATTAAATTTTCATAACCGATATATTTTAAAAGAAATAAAATATAAACAATTTAATTTAATTAAACATCTTATAATTAATATATCTTCCCCTTTATCCGCCTATAAAATTCGAAAGTTACAATTTAAATTTACACAACCTAACAAAAAATATTTTTTTATTCAAAGAGTGATTAAAAAGTAAATCATAGCCTGGGATAAAAACAATTACATTTGAATCTATTTTAAAATCGCTGAAAGTTTCGCGCCTTATCTGGAAATCTTAATCATGCTTGAAACAGCCTGGAGAAAATAAACACATATAGATTGCACCCACAAGGTTTTTAAATTTAATACTTTATTGCTATTATTAAAAAAATGTGTTTTCATTCATATTAACAATATTTCCAATTTTTTTTGAAATAAATTAAATAAAACAAAATTTAAAAAAAATAATTAGTAGTACACTAAACATGACACATATCAGGATCGCAATGAATATTTAACTAACAAAAAAAAATTTAGAAATTATCTATGTCAATTAGTAAAAATATGTGTACAGAGAAGGTCAATGTTCAGACAGGAAGGACCGAAAACCAGGTCGATTTTCAGATATGCCTAGTTCCGATCTTTGCAAATGGGTTTTTGATCCCATTCCTGTATGTGATTTTCACTAATTGTTACATTATAAAAAAAAATTAGGAAAAACTTAATCTAGGATAGTGTTAACATAAATTATATATCCATCAAAGAGAAAGGGAAATAGCTATATGCCGGTCTTGGCCACCTGTAAAGAATAGAAAAATCCAAATAATATTTCAATACTCGATTGATATTTTTAAATGAATAAGAATAATGGATACTCATTACTAATTACTCAGTAGAATAATATAATATTTTAGAAAAGAAAATAAATTTAGTGTTAATATTCATATTCAATTTGTAAATAATTTCTTTAAAAAACAAATATTTAACCTACCGAATAGAATACATATATGTTAGGTGCCGAAAGCATTTTATATTATTACATTTCAACTACAAAGGACAATTTTATAAAAATCGTTATGACAATGAGAAGAATAACTGTAAGTTATATAATTGGTTTCTTTCAGGGCCAAGAAGAAGGGATGCAATTGCGACATTAAAAATTTATTCGGGGGAAGGGGGCGGGTGTTAACAATCACAATCAACATATAGAGTAAAATTGAATCATTTAGTCATAGGAGGAGGGGCAGCTCAGCATAGACTAATTGAGATTTAGAGGGCTCTTATTGATTTTGAAATGATGGAATCGATTTAGACGTATAAAATATATTTTATATAAAGTGCAACAAAAATAATCTACCTTGTTTACAAAATTAAAAATATCAAATAAAAGCTAGGAATGTGTTTCAATTCAATTTATAATCCGAAAGATGCGGCCTCTATTTTTACTCAATGACACGCACACGTGATATTTACATAAACGTTAAAATTTCATGAAAATATTTTTTGAAAGGTCCAGTTCCCATACAAGAATTTCTATAAATAAATGAAACTCGAATATATATTTTTTTAAAGATTTTAATATAAATTATTCATATGAGAAATCAAAATGGCGCGTTACTAACTGATTTGCATTGATACATATTTAAATTAATGAATTGTCAGGTATTATATATCATACAGGTGTTAGTAAAATAGAATGATTCGCAATAAAAAAACTTTTTATTACAAAGGTGTAAAGACATTTTTTTAAATCGGGTCATTATAACTCGCACTGATTATAATATTCAAACACTATATTCAAAAAATTATAAAAGCCATCATAAATATCAAAGCTAATGTGGATGGACAGGTTCAAATCGGATTCGCCCAATCAGGCCAGACGGACTCGGGCTGGGCGAACTTTCATTAGTGTGGCAAACGTGGCCGTTGAGCATAAAGGCGCGTGGGTCAAAAATCGGATAAGCCTAAAGGAGCGAGTTGATTTTTTATCTTACCTCTTTCGGCTAAAACTTCGATGCGGTTAGTTTTCAGCTAAAAAAAACTCATTTTTGAAATCGGTTTTAGTTTAAATAAGGCTATTTTGATTTTTCAACTCTACTCGCAGACAAAATAAACAAGGCATAATTTTTGGATGGAAGGGTAAAAATATAATATTTTCATTAAGTTTCCATATAAATAATGAATTCAAAATTTAATAGCGTGCTTAAAAATTCGGAGCAAGGCCAAAAATGTTTCAAATAGGGCAGGGTCCGGATTTTAAAATAAATTTAAATTATATCAATTATCAGTTGCTAAAAAATATCACCTGAAGAATTGTTTAACATTATTTTGCTCTTTCAGTTACCCTTTAAAATTACAAAATACCAGGTAAAACATAGGAGGGGAAAAGCCTCGAAACCTGGTAAAATCTAAGAACAGAAAACTTTCCTTAAATTTCAAGAATGAAAGTATGCAACTAATTTATATGTATATATTAGTTCAAAATTTGCTGATTTATCTCAGAAGGCTTATCCATTAAAATTTTTCACTTTGCTTATTAACACTTTAGAACCATAACAAAACCCCTTTCTTTATTTCTTTGTACAAAATATAAGAACTAAAACCATTGCTTCTTTTTAAAATATAACTCCCAGAAGCATGTTTTCAAAAATATTCAGAACCGAAACCCTTTTTAAGTCCAAGTTCCAAATTCAATAGAATTATTTATAAAGGTCAAAATTTGAGAATTGAAAAAAATATTTTTTTATACCATTTGGATAGGAACCAAAAATTGGACCTATGCCAGTCTCTGGTTTATATTGAAATAATGTATTTATATCAATACATTATTTTTAGTAATAAGGCTGTATAGCAAAAATATTTTTAAAAAAATATAGAAAATATTTATAATTAAATCTATAAAAATAAACAATGTTTATCAAATAAAGTTATATAAATAAATAGTTATTGAAAAATAAATAATTAGCTCATCATGTCTGAGCATAAAAATTGAGCATGTATCAATGATGACCAACTTAACATTTTGTTAAATATTTGTATACAAAATTATTTTGATTCTAAAATGTAATAACTTATTGTAATATCAAGGTTATAATATAAAATATAACAATATTGTTTTTGATTAAAATTATTATAAAATTTTACATCATACATCATTATTAAAAATATGCCAATTTTAAAGCAAGTTAGCAAATCCAATAACTAAAATTATTATTTTTAAATCAGTTTGGAATCAATTAAAATAAAAACAAGACCTAGGCAATTAAAAATATTAATAAATATTTTTTTACCAATCAGCTTAAATAGATAGGATTGCTAGATTGTACGATTTATTTAGGGTCATTTTGATGTATATTTTTATAAATTTAAGCATTAAACTTCTTTATTTACTATGATAATAGTTATCGCTAATATTATAATAACTGCTTTTATTGGAAAATATATTTAGTATAAATTAATAAATTTCTTCAAAAAATAACATATAACTCTTTTTTGTTTGTAGGTTTAGTTGGCATTACAATAAATGTTTCCTGATATATGTAATACCATTAGTTCAATAAATAAAATTTTTGAATTTAAGATTTTTTCTCATTAAAACTTTATTTATATCAGGCAGAAATTCAATCAATCTTAAAATGGCAGATTCAGTAAAATATATTCAGATCAATTTATACAATTGGATTTGTATATATTCAGATCAACTATATAATTTGATTTATATAAATAATTATACCAATGCAATCAAATGAAAAATAGTTTGAATATATATTAATCACACTATAATACTATATATAGTTTTGCAAAATATTTAAGAAAAAAAATATTCTTTAAAAGAACTACAAGGCCACAGAAACTAAATTGACATGAAAGTCAATAAAAGTAATGTTGATTTAATATTCAAATTTATAAGTCAGGTTAAGTTAGATTCTGTTGTATATATGCTCTCAAAAGCTATAATATGTATTATATTTCACAATACATATATGTAAATATAGTCTTAATAATTTTATTAACGATATAAATTCACATAGCAAATTATTTTAAAAAAGTTCTATATAATGCATAATAAATTGAATGATTTGGTAAGCATTTCTATTGCAAATTATAAATATATACTAAAAATATACTTGATAAGTTTAATTAAATAAAACAAGTAAAGTTTTACTGTAAATAAATATTAATTATATAGTTTCAAAGATTTTGCAAAACAATAAAATTTTCCATTATTTATTTTATTTATATGTGAGGAAGGTAAAAAAGTTGTTTGTTCTGTTTACAAATTAGTCAGACATTAATAGCAGTTAAATTTTATATATTAGAAATAATAATTATCATAAGATAAATTAATTAAATATAAAAATAATCGAAATTGTATTACCAATCCATAGTTTCAAAATCCATTCTTTGCAGTTAATAGTTGAACACCCAAAAGGGATCTAATTTCACAAATGCTTAGAGCAAATATGAAAATAAATTTTGCATTTCACAGAACTAGTATATGTTTAATCTCATTATTTGTAAATCAAATTAGAATTTAGAAAAGAGTCGAAAATTATGCTTGTCCAAAATAATAAAATAAAAATGTTTGAGCAAAATAATAAAAAATAAAAAAGCAAAAACCATATGATTAATTTTTCACATTCAATTCGGGTTATATTATTAAATAATAAAAATTATATAATATATTTCCGATTATATATAATATATTTCTGAGCATTTTAATTAAATTTTAAAAATATAAAGATCATAATTTTTTTATCATTATATATTCTTATTTAATTTACATAAAACCTAATTAAAAATAATATAATTTATAAATTTATAATTATATAATTAAAAATATAATTCTATAATTGAGTCCCCAAAAAGGAACCATAATTGTGTCTAAAAATTTCTATTTGAATTTTTTGTCGAATAAAAAGGAATTCTCTTGGTTCATTTGTGAAAAGTCGTATTTTATTAGCAAGATTTTTTAAAAATAAAAATATTTAAGGCGAAAAATGCCCGTTGGTAGAAGTCACTACTAGAGTGAATAAAAAGTTTTTAAAATTTTTGCATTTGTTTATCTTTTTAATTTCAGCCTGTGTTATTAAATTGAAATTTATGTTTGAAGGGAATGATGAAACACACGTGTAGTCCCATATGAGTGATTTGCCGAGGGCCCAAGGTATGGTTGTCATACCATCTGGTCTTAAACCATCTACTTGAGATAAATTTGATGGTTCGAGATTGTTAGGAATGTGTGCAGCAGTTAAGCTTCTATTTATTATATGGTTTACAGCTGAGTGGCGTTGATGTCGCCCTTGACTAAAAATGCAATTTAAGCCATGTCTACCCTTTGAATCAACGGGTGATTTGCATTTGATGCAGGCATGAGGCTGTACTATATCGCAACCTAGACGTAGACCAATGGTTACTCTCAGTTGTTCAACGCCACTCAGCTGTAAACCATATAATAAACAAATACAAAAATTTTAAAAACTTTTTATCATTATTGATTGAATGATTAAAATCATGTTTATCTTTACTAATATTATGAAGAAGTTATTCGTCAATATCCTTTATTCTTCAAACTATTCTAACTCGCTAGAAAACATATGTGACTAATTTTCTTATTGAATAACCTTCAGCTTTTCAGGTTGAGCCTGCAATAAATGAGCTTAGATGATTATTCACACATATTATCAGACGCATAGAGTCCATATTTTTTTTTAAGGGGAGGGGGTTAATATTTTCTAATATTCAAATATTTTTTTATGAATCAATTATATACTAAAAAATGGAAATTTTGTCCACAAATAAAATGTTGGAACAAAATTCAAATATTTTGGTCTTAAAATATTATAAATATATAAGATTGACGGTTTAGCAGTATCACGGATATTTATATCTTTTATAAATAAAATACATTAAATTTTGTTTATTTCTTTTTTGAAAACATATCATATATTTATTGCACCCATATTATAACTCATTCAAATAATATTATTATATATAATCCGAAACATTACAATTATCAACAGCATTCATTCTATAACTTTACTGATCCGAATTCATGATTCTCGTTTATTAGTCCCCGTATTTGGTGGCTAATCATCAATATATCTTTTTTAAGAGATCTTGTATCTTCTTATCCCGGGATGTAGTTATGGGGGGGGGGGGAGGGTGGCGCAGTTTAAAGGTTTAGGTGCCTTTGCAAGAAATTCTCAAAGATTTCCCTATTTTAATTGTTTCTTAAAAAAGAATAACTAATATAAATAGAAAAATACCATTGTCAGATTTAACTATCCATTTAAGTGTTGAAATAAAAATGGAAATTACAAATTATTTTTATAACCAGAGCTGGTTCTAAAAATGTTACGCAAATTATGAGTATTATATATTATATTGCAAAATAAAATTGCTCATTTGTGAATTAGTATTGTTTAGGTTTTGGTGCCAAATCTTCGAGAATTACATAACATTATTCTGGCAAAAAATTTAATTAGGCCATTTTTAAAAATCGATCCAAATTGGGCCGTTTATACATACTTTTATAGATTTAAAAGCATTAATAGATTTACAGGAGTTTGCCTTATGTAACATATTTTGCATTCAAGATACTCTGCTTTGTTAATAATTCATTGCTATGGTTATACAATTAAAAATTGTAAATAACATTACATAATATTACATAATCAAAAATTGCCATCCTGGTAGATGAATCCACAAAGCAGTGACGTCACTAGGGGGGGGGGCGCATAGGGGCTCTAGCCTCCTGAAAAATTTGAATAGCCCTGAAGCAAAAATTTTTAATGGCTCCTTAATATCCCTTTGAACTAAAAATAATTTTTTTGATTATCCCTGAATAATTTATTTTATAATTCCAGTAAGTAATATATAGATTTAATTTTATTATTTAGAAATTAATAAGACTATTTAAATTTTTATTAAATGAATACTATTTTAATTATTAGATTAGATTAATACATAACTTATATTTTAACTATGTCAGCTTGCAATCAAATTCTGTATTAAAAATACAATATCAATAACTCACTAAATATTAATTTAGCTTTAACAGTTGAAGTCATAGGCGTAGCCAGGATTTTCATAGGGGGGGGGGATTAAAAAATTATTGGGGGCTGGCCCGCGTCTATATATAGTCATAAAATATTTTTACAAATATTAATACTGGAACAAATATGAAATATATTTTTATTAGTTTATAATAAATAAAAATATAATAAATTACTTGTATTGTATATATTATAATATAAAAGCATTGTAATAATTTATTCCAAACAATTATAAGAAATTTATTTATAAAATGTAAGTAGACATATAGTTGATTTTACTCTATTATATAGAATTAGTTATAAAATACTAGGTAAAATTACACTTTTGCAGACATATTTGACAGTTAGAGAATATATTACAGTTAATAATTTAACAAATTTACTAATCAATGCTCTTGATAATTAATATAAGAAACAATTTGCATTCAATTATTTAACGCCATCTATTTATTTTAAGTAAAAATGATATATAAATTTAATTTTCATATTATTCATCCCACAATGTCTTTAAAAGATATTTTCTGATGTCCTTATCAATAATTTATAGTTTTCTGTAAAATATGTAATTCGCTATATTGGTATAAATGATTTGATTATCATATGATAATTGATAAAATTAGATATACTCTAAATCTACGGCATATAATATTCCACTGTTTGTATTGTGCTTTAATATTTTTTTAATTTATGATTTAATTTTATCAATAGTTTTATAATTATATTTTACCTTTATTAAGATAAATAAATTAAAATTACTCAACTTTATAAAAAATTATATTAAATATATTATATTATTTAGTAATTTTATGGATCTATTATTAATAATTATAATACATTTCACTTCTGTCTTAAGACTTATCTTTGGCTTATATTCCATTTATTAAAAAACATTTTTGGTTCATATCATATATTTATAAATGTATTTTCCCAAAAATCTATAAATTATGATGAATAGTTTTATAAAAAAATATCAACTTTTACATTCTTTCTTTTAAATTATTATTTAAGATATATGCATACATATTTGAGGGTCAGGGAGTGGGGGGGGAGGACTAAGGGGGATATTTTTTATTATATAAAAATGATATTTACAAAAAGTGATAAATTTCTGAAGGGGAGGGGGGATTTCCCTCGTCCCCTCCCCTGGCTACGCCTATGGTTGAAGTTTAATTGACTTTTATTATTTAAATTATTATATAACTCTAATTAAATAAATATAATCATATATTATTTGAAAATTAACAAATTTAATATTGTAATTAGCCGAGTTCAAAATGACTAATGAACTGTATATTTATTTTTAAATTTTATTATCATACCTATTTCTAAAAATATTTTCAAGGTTTAAATAAGTATAAGAGATTTTTTTATAAAAAGTAAGTAGACATATAGTTTATTCTATGTACAGTTGTTTATAAAATATTAAATAAAATTCCACTTTTATAGACCTATTTGACAGTTATATAATATATTACAGTTAATATTATAATAAATTTTGCTAATAAATGGTTTTGATAATAAATATAGTAACAATATGCATTCAGGTATTTAACGCCATCTATTTATTTTATTTATTTTTATCTTTAGCTTTCAACTTTTCTGGTGGTAAGCTCCTTCAACATCTCTTTCCACTTTATGTTATTAATACAATCTCTTTTATCTAATTTATACTTCTTTATATTGGCTCTAACTTTATGGCCCCATTGAAGTTTTGGCCTTCCTCTTTTACGTTTGCCCATCACTTCCAAACTCTTAACTTTATTTCCTATGTAGTTCATAGGCCTTCTCATTGTGTGCCCATACTACCTAAGTCTGTTTACCATTAACTTAGTCTTAATGGGCACTATCTTTTAACTACTTAGTATTCTTGTACTGCGCACTTTATCCTTTCTTGTTAACCCGGCAATCATCATTTTTCCCTTTAATTTGTGTGGGATTCTTTTATCAAATAGCACTTCAGATAAAGATCTCCACTTCCGCCACTCTTGATTAATCTTACTCTTTATCTCTTTTTCTATTGTGCCGTTTTTTTGTATAGTGGAGCCCAAATATTTGCAGCTTTCAATTGCCCATTAAACATTTTATTTTTAATCCTGCAATAGATGTAATAAATTTCATATCTTTTCTTCTCTTTTTTATGTGCTTTTAGGAAAGCTATTTTTTTCTTTTTCGAAAAACAGTTTTGAGTTGAATTTTTAATAAGTTTATTTTTAATATTATTACAAACTACTATTATTTTAAGATATAATATATCAAGGTGGTGGGACCATGGTTGCCATGTCTCCCCCCATCAGCGGAAGATTCCCGCAATTTTTTAGTTTACACTCAGATATCTCTCCCGCAAAACTACCGCAATTGGAAATCTCCCGCAAAAATCTAACGCAATTTTTTAATTGCTCCCAAAATTTTTTAAAAATTTAACGTTTTTAATATGTAAATAATAATTTTGAGACATTAATTGATTATTTTTATATTTTTAAAATAAATTTTAAATATTTATTCGAAAAACATGTCTAGTTTGTAAATCTCTTTCTATCCTGTTTTATTTTTATCTA